CCACTAGGATGATACCTGGGATGGTGGGATTGTCCTATGAGGAGAGACTAAAATCTCTAAACTTGTTTTCTCTGGAGAGGAGGAAAGTCAGAAGAGATTTGATTGAAGTGTTTAAGATTATTAAAGGTATTGATAATATAGATCCAACAAACGTTTTTGTGTTTAGCAGTGAAAATAATAGGACAAGAGGTCATAAATACAAATTTTGGTAGAATAGGAGTCGTCTGCAGTTTAAACAATGTTATTTTTAAACAGGGTAGTTGGCTTTTGGAATGAACTGCCTTCAAGGATGGTGGAGGTAGAGAATTTAACTGAGTTCAAGAAAAGATTGGATGAATACATGAGTAGTAAGGGGTGATTATAGTTGGGAGCTGGAAGGGACATCCTTGATGGGCTAATAAGCTCCTTTTTATTGAAGAAATAAATTACTTCATTATTGTTACACGGACTTAGCATATTTTACTGAATAATCCAAGAAAACCCACCCAACAATAAAACACATTACACCAATGGTGTCACAAGAGAATTATTTTGCCAGAAATATAATATAACTTCAAGATGATTACTATATGAGCAAAAAAAAAAAAGAAGATAAAAAAATTTTCATAGAAATGATGAAAATGTGGAAAGAAAAGCGAGAAGAAAAATGAAAAGATCAAAAAGAAATTTATATAAAATTGAAGGATCAAGTGGTAAGACAGCAGTTTAAGAAAAGAGTTAAAAGGAAGAGTTGAAATATTTAAAGAAGAATTAAGAACAAGAATAAATTTAATTGAAAGTAAGACCAACAAAGCTTTTGTAGATGTACATAGAGATTTCAACAAGATAGAATAAATACAGAAAGATTGTAATAGCAAAATTCAGTGAGATATAAAATAACTTCAGGGACAGAATAAATCTTTAGATATTGAATTGGTAAATGGAAACATCAAACCAACTAGATCTCTTTCTGCATCTACTCATGAATTCCAACATAAAATACCATTTATTATAAAAATGAAATAGGAGAGCCAATTTTGTTAACAGGTGTTACTACTATGACTGTCATCTGCAACTTCAGGACCTTTCTTAACTACTCCACTTATGTCAGTACAAAACCAATTCCAGAATTTACTGATCAATTAAGAAACCAATAGACTATAATGAATATGTACCATGAAAGGCATATCAAGTTTTCTTTGAAATCATTTCAAAAGTAAATGGGTTGAATAGTGAACAACAACTTCTTCATCTTGCTGCTCAATTAAAAGAACAAGCTTTAATGACATTAAAATCTTTAAGTTGAGAGCTACAACAACTATCAAGCATTGGTAGCTACCTTATCCAACGGTTCAAGGTGATATTCCAGAAGGAAGTACCAAGAGCAAAGATCAAAATCAGAGTGTGAGGGAAAAAATAGACTTTGGTATAATTTGCGGAAGATTGCTACAAGCCTTCTCAGTTATCATACCTTGATGGTTCACATGAAAATATAGATTATTTGGCAAGTGTCAGAATCACAGATACCATAACAGAAAAGCATTCAACAAAGTGAAGAATTAACCACTACTTCTGTATTAGTCTACGCAACTCTTGAATATCCATTCATACTAGATACAGATTTCATTGATTTTGTAGTGTTTTCACAAGTTAAACTCAGAAAAACACGATTGCGTATTATAGAAAGGCAATTATTTCTGCAGAAAGGAGGTAATATATGATTCAAAGAGCTACTTAGTATTGTCAGAGTCATAAGTCATTTCCATTATTACTTACTTGGACAAAAATTTACATTTTGTACAGATCATGCAGCACTGATGTGTCTCATGAATTTTCAACATCCATTAGGCTAGAGAGCAAGATTGCTCTAGAAGATTCAGGAATACAACTTTAACATCATGCATTACCCTAGGTAGAACCATGAAAATGCAAGCACATTATCCGAAGAATTGTGTGTTTATGAATAATGTAAACACTGAAAAGAAGGAAGCATGACATAGTAAAGACAGCCCACTTGAAGTATAACAGTGTGTAATCAAAGATGAGATATCCACAAGTGATGATGAAGAACTAATGTGTTCTAACATTTACTGTTTAACCTTATCGGCACGGGTCAAAGGCCATGTCATTACGTTTGTTGACTTGCATTCAAAATTTTATTGAACTACTATTTTATAAATGTATGTTGATAAATTTAATATCAAATTTTAAATTATAATTTAAAGTTTTAGTATTATACAGTACTTAATTTCATAATTTAAAAGTAAATATTATAAAAGAAATCCTAAATTTTGACTTTTGTGTGTCACTTAGTATCTTGAATGCAGCATTGGTTCAAAATATATGTTTATGATGCTGAAATACTAAGTCTATAGTTTCTTACGAATTAGGAACTCAAATTACTGATATTGACAAGCTACAGTGTAAAATAAGAATCTCCTATCTTTTCTGCTTTCTGATATATCAATATATTTATGGAATCAACCTGCTTATGTACACCTACTTCACCCAGTGATGTGTGTATAACCAGTTGAAAGCTCAGAATGTCCCCCTTTCCCAGCACCTTTGAAGTATTTGGGCAGCAATCTCTTTCTTTTCATTGGATTCGAAATTTCATATTTATTTAGACCCAAATACAGCTTAGTTACTGAGCTTGATAAATTATTGTGGAATTTTGTGGTATTGGTGTAGTAATTTATGAATTTTGGTTATTTCAAAATGCATATATAATAACCTAAAAAAATTATTTTGTTCCACATCCTCCACATGTGAAATTTT